AGAAGCACAGGAAAGAAGGTGAAAAGGAGGAGGGAATAAAAGGGGTAAAGGAAAGCGAGTAATGAGAGGAAGGGGGAGAAGCAAAAGAAGGGGAATGGAATTAGGTAGAGTTGAGGAGGAAGAAGGGGGCAGTAAGAGAAGAATAAAGAATGAGAAAATAAGAGTAAGCACTTGGAAATTAAAAATTGGGTAGACTATATTAAAATACAACCAAGACACTTGCAGATCTTCTGGCCACAGCAGTCTCTACTGCAATAATCTCCCTCCCACTATTGCAAAAGCCTCTCACCATCAACCCTACCTGCACCAATAATCGTTTCAAATAGTGTCTCTCCTTACTATAAAAAAAAGTAATAGAAAGGAAAGAATAAGGTAAATCAAGCTCCTAAAAAGTGAGATGATTAGAGATCTAATGTTTTCTCCAGAAAGTGAGAACTGAGAAAACTGAGAGAACTATCATAGAAATAATAAAAGATACATTCCCAAGGAGCCAGCCCATCAAGAACCCAGGAAAATGAAAGAAAAAAAGACCATACCACCTTGTATCATTGTGAAATTACAGAATACTACAAAGAAATCATTTTGATTCTGAAGCTTTCTGAAAGGGAAGGGGTGGATACAAAAGATTAAGAAAAAGAATAGTATCAAATTCTCAAGGGTAATCTTAGAAGATGGAACAGTGCCTTCAAAATTCTGAGAGAAAAAGGAATTTCAAACCAGAAATCTCTACCTAGCCAAATAATCAACGTGTTGGTAGAATACAAGTCGTTTTAGATACTCTCTAAAATTACCTCTTTGGATCTTTTCTCATGAAGCTACTGCATAATGTGTGCCACCAAAATGAAGATGTAAAATAAACCAAGAAAGAAGATATGGGATGCAGGAAATAGGATATTCAATGCAGGAGAGAGTTAAAGAAATTTCTAGGATCACAGCTGTGTAGCAGGCTATTATAATGAGCTACCTGTTCAGACTGTAACAAGACAAAGGGCTCCAGGAAAACATAAGACTGCCAGGTAATTTGACACATTTAGCAGAGCAGAAAATTGCATCAAGAGGTTCTGAGAGGAATACAGGAAGACTTTGCTTAGTTTCTTTATACCTATTCTAATGGGGAAAAAAATAGGGCAATTATTTACATCCGGGAAAAATAAAAGTTCTCTCTGAGAGGAAACATATACTATTTGACTCAACAGCAAATTAAATCATAATTAAACATAGAGTACTGATTTAAGCAAAATGGTGAAATCACTATATTGGGAGCATGAGGGAAGTGAAGCAGAATCAAAGTAATATAAGAGAACTTAATTCTCATCTATCAGTCTTTAGATTAGTGAATCTAAAGAAAACAGTATCAGTACTATAATATAATACAACACTGAGAAATGTGATAACATTGAAAAATGTAGAGTTAAACATTGAAAGAAATACCGAAAAGACTTGAAGATTACCTGTGGGGAGCAGATGGGGGAAAGGCCAAAGAACACTTTTTAAATACATATGCTTTTAAAAACTGAGGTGAAGTTCACATGGCATAAAATTAACCATTTTAAGGTAAACAATTCAGTAGCATTTAAGCATAGTCATGATGTTGTATAACTACCACCTCTACTTAGTCCCAAAACAATTCATTACTCCAAAAGGAAACCCATTATGGCTTAGCAGTTCTCCTTCCCTCTAGGCCCTGACAACCACCAATCAGCTTTCTAGCTCTGTGGATTTACCTATTCTAGTTTTCCAAATAAATGGATTCATATGATATGTGATCTTTCATGTCTGGCTTCTTTCACTTAACATGTTTTTCAGGTTCATCCATAAAATAGTACTTCGTTTATTTTTATGACTGAATAAAGTTACATATAATAACTTGTTGATACATAATTTGTTTATCCATTAATCTGTTGATAGACATTTGTGTTTCTATCTTTTGGCTATTGTGCATAGTGCTGCTATGAACATGTGTATACATATATTTGAGTATTTGTTTTCAATTCTTTTGAGTATATCTAGGAGTGGAAATGCTGGGTCCTATGGTAATGCTAGGCTTAACTTTACCCATGTATTTATGGGTTTAACTAAACCTATACATCTGTGGTCAACTGCTCTTAAACAAGGTTGCCACGACCATTCTATAGGGGAAAGAATAACTTATTTGACAAACAGTGCTAGGATGAGATATCCACTTGCAAACAAATGAAGGTGGACTCCTATTTACATCATATACAATATTAATTCAAAACGGGTCAGAGGCCTAATTGTAAGAGCTAGAACTAAACACCCTTAGAAGGAAACATAAGGGTAAATCATCAAAACTGAGGTTTGACAAATGATTCTTAGATATAATAGCAAAATCACAAGCAACAAAAGAAAAACAAATTGGATATCATCAAAATTAAAAACTTTTGTGTTTCAAATACATCGTCAAAAAAAAGTGAAAAGACAACCTACAAAAAATGTGAGAAAATAGTTGCAAATTATATACCCGATAAGGGGTATCTTCTTTATATGTGCAATATATAAAGAATACTTAAAACTCAAAAAACAAAACACACTCAAGTAAAATGGGCAAAGGACCTAAAAAGACATTTGTTCAAGGAAGATAAAGCATATTACCAATAAGAGCACATGAAAATATGCTGAACATCATTAGCCATTAGGGAAATGCAAATCAAAACCACAATGAGATATCACTACGCACTCACTAGGATTGCTATTTTAAAAACAAAAAACAAAAAACGAAAAATAACAAGTGTTGGTAAGGGTAAGCATGCAGAGAAAAAGAAACTCTGATCCATTGCTAGTAGAAATGTAAATGGTGTAGTTATTATAGAAAACAATTCTCCAGCAATATAAGAGAAATAAAAACATACATCCACAAGAGAAACTGGACACAAATGTTTATAGCAGCATTATTCGAAACAGCCAAACAGTGGAAATAACCCAAATGTCTGTCAATAGGTGAACGAATAAATAATGGTATATTCATATGATGAAATATTATTAAGTCATAAAAAGAAATGAAGTGCTGATACATGCTGCATGGATTAACCTTGAAAACATTATGCTAAGTGAAAGGAGCCACATAAAAAGTCACATATTGTATGATTCCATTTATATGAACTATCAAGAATTGATAAATCCATAGAAAGAGAAAGAAAGCATATTAGTGGTTTGCCACAGGATGGTGGAGGCTGAAATAGGGATTGTTACTTAAATGGTATGGGGTATTCTAGAATGATGTAAAGTTTTGAAACTAAAGATTAGTGGTGGTTGAGAGCATTGTAAATGCACCAAATTAAATTCCACCAAACTGTATACTTTAAAATAGTTAACTGTATGTTTTGTGAATTTCAATTCTATTTTTTTAAAAAGAGGGATGAAGTACTGATATATGCTACATCAAGAATGAAACTTGAAAACATGCTAAAAGAAGCAACATGATGAAAGAAGACAGTCATAAAAAATCACATATTGTATGAGTCTGTTCATATGAAAGTCCAGAATAAGGAAATCTATAGAGACAGAAAGTAGGTTAGTGGTGGCTGGAGGCTGGAGGCTGGAGGCTGGAGGCAGGTAGATGGAAGATATGGGGTTAAGAGCCAATGCGTATGGGGTTTCTTTTTCAGGTCGTAAAACTGTCATAAAAGCAACTGTGGTAAAGGTTGTAAACATCTGTGAATATGCTAAAAACTACTGAACTGTATAATTTAAAAGGGTAAATTGTATGGTATGTGAATTATATCTCAATAAAGCTGTATAAAAAATAAAAGCTGTTTATCATATAACAATAAATTGAATTAGTAATTTAAAATTTTCCCACAAAAATCCCAGACCTAAATTGCTTCACTGGTTAATTCACAGGATATAAAGTCAATACACAAAAATTAATTGTATTGATGGATACTAGCAACAAACAATTAAAAAATAAGACAAATTTTCTCTAACAGAATAAAAAAGAATGAAATACTTAGGGGGTAAAGCATGAACCATAAAAGAAAGAAATGATAAATCAGACTTTATCAAAACTAAAAACTTTTAATTCAAAGGACATCAGTAAGAAAAAGAAAAGATAAGCCACACACTAAGGGAAAATATTTGTAATTCACATACATCTAGAATTTACAAAGAACTTAAAATTTAATAATAAAAAGACAAGTCAATTTAAAGGTAAGCACAGATTTGAATAAACAGTTCATCAACTATAAACAGCCATTAAGCACATGAAAAGATGCTCAACATCATTAATCATTAAGGAAATACAAATTAAAACCATAATGAGATACCACCACACACCCATTAGAATGGCTATAACAACAAAGACACTGCCATTTCTGACAGCATGGATAAGCCTGGAAGACATTATGCTACATGAAATAAGCCAGACACAGAAAGACAAATACTGTATGATCTCTCTTGTATCTAGAATAAATCTGAACTCACAGAAGCAGAAAGTAGAATGGTGGTTGCCAGGCTTTAGGGGTAGGAAAAAGAGATATTGGGCAAAGAGCACAAACTTTCAGACGTAAGACAAGTTCTGAGGATCTAATGTACAGCATGGTGACTTTAAGTAATAATACTGTATTGTATGTTTGAAATTTGCTGAGAGTAGATCTTAAGTGTTCTTACCACAAATACAAAAAAAAGGTAACTGAGGTGAAGGGTGTATTAGCTTGATTGATTGTAGTAATTTCACAATGTATATGTGTATCAAATTCATCATGTCATATACCTTAAATGTATAGTTTTCATTTGCCAATTATACCTCAATAAAGCTCTAAAAAAAAAAAAGAAACTAATGTGTTGTTGAGGATTTGGAGAAACTGAAACCTTTATACATTGCTGAAGAGTATATAAAATTTTATAGCTACTTTAGCAAATAGTTGGTAATTTCTTAAAAAGTTATATATCAACGTAACCATGTGACCCAGCACAATTCCACTCTTATGAATCTACCCAAGGGAAATGAAACTATATATCCATACAAATACATGTATGAGAACATTCATAGCAGCATTATTTATAAAAGCCAAAATTTTGAAGCAATTCAAATGTCTACCAGCTGGTGAAGAGAGAAATATGTGGTATATCCATATAATGGAATACTGTTCTGCAATAAAAGGAACTGAGCTATTGATACATGCTACAACATGGATGGATGAACCTTAAAAACCTTATGCTAGGTGAAAGAAGCTAGACATAAAAGACTATATATACTGTTTGATTTCATTTATATGAAATGTTCAGAAACAGCAAATCTGTAGAAATAAAAAACAAATTAGCGTTTTTCTGGTTAGGAGTTAAAAATGGAGGCTGATTGCAAAGAGAATTTTGGGGGTGATGGAAATGTTCTCAAACTGAATTGCAACTGATGGTTGGTTGTATGGCTACAAATTAACTAAAAACCATGTACCCTCATAGGGGATGGATTTTATGGCATGTAAATTATACCTCAATAGTACTATTTAAAAAATAACTTTTAAAAACAGCTAGTAGGCACAATATCCTATATATGATTCCTCCTCCTAATATATTAATCAGAAAATCAAGTACATTTTCTTTCTATCATAATGCTTTACCATACAGTGGCCTCTACTGGTGAAAAGGAGAGATTTTGATTACTTGATCTCTAGGTGCTTTAAGTTTTTATATTTATAATGTATCTACTATTTATATTAGATCATAGAAATGGCTATGGTTTCTTAAAAGAGAATGCTTAGGATTATAAGGTCTAAACTGTGCACATTCAAAAGAAAATAGACAAAGAACAAAATGACATAAGAAGTAGAAGCAAACTCACTCCCAATCTAAACTGTTGCTATAAAATAAACCTTACAAAAATGCTTTTTAAAAAATTACTCATTTAACTGACTAACCTCTCCCACTGAATTCAGGAAACAGAAAGCACATTCACATAAAGATATAAAGGGAAAGCCCATTATTACAAGTTTATGTAATACATAAATAAAATGTAAATTAAAGAAGTAACTTGGTTCTTTCACTTCTGGAGGACAAAATAGTATAATGATTAAAAGAGCCCAAGCTTGGACATTAGCTTAGATTCAAATCCTGGCTCCAATATTTACTCACAATGTGACCTTGGGTTTACTATTTAATTCATTAATGCCTCAGTCTCTATTTTTATAAAATGGAGAAAACATTTTATCTAAAGACATTGTTTTGAGTACTACTTAACTCACAGTAATCATAAAATAGATATTCACTATAATTATTGTCATATCAATGGAGAAACTGATAAATTTTTATTTTAAATGGTCTACGTTTAAAACATTGCATGTTTATAGATTCAAATTTACCAAACATTAATTGAGCATCTGTTATGTCTAAACCACTGTGTTTAAGCTTTATGGAGAAACAGTTGAAATACTAAACAAACACTAAAGAGAATGGTTGAAAATGGTTAAAGAGTTAACTTCATTAATATTGAAGATGTTATACAAGAGACAAAGAAGGACCCAGTAAACCCACTTCTGGGTATTTATCCAAAAAAACCTAAAACACTACTTGGAAGAGACATGTGAATTCATATGTTCACTGCAGCATTATTTACAACAGCCAAGAAACGGAAGCAACCTGGTGTCCATCAACAGATGGATAAAGAAGAGGTGGTATATTAATACAATGGAATATTACTCAGCCATAAAAAAGAATGAAATTTTGCCGTCTGCAACAACATGGATAGACCTAGAAGGTACTGTGCTGAGTGGAGTAAGTCAGAGAAAGATAAATGCCATATGATTTCAGTTACATGTGAAATCTGAAAAACAAAACAAACAAACTCATAGATACGGAGAACATTTTGATGGTTGCCAGATGGAAGAGGGGTTGGAGGGTGGGTGAAAAGGGGAAGGGATTAAGAAGTACAAATTGGTACTTATAAAATAGTCATGGGGATATATAACATAAAGAATATAGCCAATATTATTGTAATAAATATGTACGGTGTCAAATGGGTACTATATTTATCAAGTGATCACTCTGTAAGTTATATAAATATCTAATCACCATGCTATACACCTGAAAGTAATATAATATTGCATGAGAACTGTAAATTAAAAATAAATAAGAGATGTTATAATGTATTAAGTGAAAAGATTACCAAATAGTAATGCTACAATACTATTTTCATAAGTATGGATATATATTAACATGCATTCACATATATACATAAATGACTATAAACCAAAATCAATTGATGGTCATCTTTCAGTAATGTGACAAAGAATAATTTTATTTAATTTTTTCTTAAGTGTATTTTCTAATTTTTGCACCATGAATATTTAACACAACTATTTAAAAAAAAAAAGGAAAAGTTGAAGAGACCTCAATCAGTAATACCATACACAGACTAGCTCAGATAATATGTAAGCTATTAGCATCCTGGATAAGAATTGGAAAGCAAGATTTACAGGGCACAGAATACACTGTGATCTTTAATTTTTGAAGATTAAAACAGAACAAAGAATGAGTAATATTTATAATTCATTACATGGGAGAATCTTTAGAATGCTTTAAAGTGCTGCTTCTAATAAATACATGTGTTAATTACTGTTTGGAGTAGTGTTCTAAGAGTAGAATATAGAAAAAAATTACCTTTAAAATTCTTCTGGCACAGTTAGAGGTATATGCACAGAACAGAAAATCATGCAAAAGGTTCTCTTGGTTAGGGATCCCCTAGATCTCTAACTGGGCCATGAGAAAGGGCTGCTATTTCATCTCACAACAGTTGGCAAGATTGAAGGATGACTTTGCTCTCAATAAATGAGCTCCAGCTGAGTTCAGAACCTCTGTTTATTCACGTGTTACTGGAAATGATATCTTAGTCCAACTAGCAGAAATGAAGCCCACTTTGGAGTCCTTCTGAATTGTCTCTGTGTTTCCAACATTATCTTATTAGCTTCTTGGTCAGGCAGAAAGGAAATTCTGATATCTATTCCCATTTGCCGGTTGAAGTGGAAAGGGCAGGAAAGGTAACAGTAAGAACCACCTTCCCAAGACTATGTTCTCTTCAACGGCTGCTAAGATACTACTGCTACAAATACTTACGAGTCTTAATTATTTGGAAAGGAATGAAGTCAAAAGTTATAACTAAATTTTCCTTGATCAGTAAATTAATAAAGTTGAAAACTTACCTGAAAACATTTTTACAAAATCGTCAGTAGACATACTCATCACCACATCTGCGTGATCAGATGGCTCTCCATATCCGACATTCCCACTCTTGCTTTTAAGATCAAGAAACCAAGTTCCACCATCTTCGCCTGCACAGAAGATAAAGATATAAATGCCAAAAAAGCCCTGTTCTTCTTAAACTTAATAACTGCTACAAATTAGAATAATCTTATATATAATGCTGTTTCCTGGGCTAAAATCCCCAGGCCTCTATCAAATGCAGCAAATATTTATTAAGTACTTATTATGTACCAGGTACTAAGCTAGGCTCTGAAGACTCTGCAATAA